ATGTAATTTTCCAATGATCCATTTTGATTAATTTATTTGCTTTTCTTCTAATATAATCTTTATCAAAGAATATAATAGCATCATCAATTATTAATAATTGTGAATTAAAGTATAAATTGAGAAACTTTTATATAATTATTTTTATATATTGTATTTTAAAAAAATAATACAGGTTATTTAGACAAAAATTAAAGAAATAAATCTAATCTCTAAATGATTAATGAAATTACAAACTAAATTACTTGAAATATAGATGTCTTGATCGAAATTCAAAGAATCTACAATTATGTTGTTTATCCTTCGATCTAAGCACAATTTCATGAGTTTTGATCTATTGAGAACACAAATAAAATGAATTTGTAATACGCAATTATTCTATACTTTTTAATTTTCTATATGAGAATATTCTTTATGCTTAGATTATAAATTATGTTAATGAGCCAAAATTTGAATAGCACTCAATCTAAAGAAACTTAACTATTAGACAATTAGATGATCTTGATTTAGCAACATTTAGCATCCCTATGTGATATGGTATATTTGAATTTATGATAATTGAAAACTCTATCTCAAATAAGCTGTAATTTATAGAAGAAACAATAAATTTTGCATTATTTCATTTAATAGCTTAAGGGATTAAAATTGATTAGACCGAAGTAATTTGGAACAACCTGAATCCAAATTTTGTTAGAACGTTTAAGATTAAATATTTTTTTGAAGTTTAGTAACATCTAAAAAATGGAAGTTTATCATTTTATAAATTCAACTTAATGAAAAGTGTTAATGTAAGCTATTATGGATAATTGTTAAAGCAGAAACAGCTGTAATTGAAATAATAGGGTCGAAAAACTCAATTTTTATTGCTTAATTATTTAATTTATAAGGAAAGAAAAGTGGAAACGTTATCCTCAAGGCAGATCAAATAAAACAATGCAACGATGAATTTTCTATTCCAGTTCCAGGGCATATTAGAAAAGAGAATAAACTTTGGCTTTTTTGGAACAATGCTCTCCTTTTCTAAGATTTTATAGACGAAGATAGTAAGATGAAAGGAATTTATTGGTTTATGAAACGTATATCTTAATGATTTAAACTAAATAAAATGGAAGGAATTTCTTTGTTAAGCATAGAAACTATGTAACGGAAAATATTTATTGCAGATAAAAGTTGAATTATGGAATTATAAAATCTCTGGTAATCACAAATATCTAGTGGAAACTACCCTTTGTATTAATGAATTAATTGGGTCAAGCAAGGTGACTAAAATATTTTAAAAGTAACTCATAAATAAGTGTAATACTAATAAATCTCCAGGGCTTTATAATTTGATAGATTTTAATTAAAATCTCATTATACCTTTATTTATTATTATGCTTGAGGATAGCAATTAAGTTTAATTATTGCTATTGGTTTCACTTCATCTAATGCAGATCCTTAAAATCCTAAATCACTTCATAATCTTCCTTCAGATGACCCTCCTAGTTTATACTTACAAGCAATTTCTAGTGTGGCTGAAATATTGATTAATTAGGATCAACACTATAAGGCTCCGCTCTATGTTTTTGGATACAAACCTAAATTATAGAATTAAAACACAAATCAAACATAAGATCTCTTTCCTTCTTTCCTTTGAATGATAATCCAAATATTCCAGATTAAATATCCTAATTATTTTAGAGTCTATATATTAGATGGAATTATTGAATGCTATAATTAAGTTCATAAATTGAAATTTGATGGCCAAACCTATTAGCTTCCAGCTTTATATAAAGAAATATAGATGGCATAACAACGAAAAACCAAGGAAGTGAAAACTATATTGTACTATTGATTTTACCTGACGGACAAACAGATGACACATTAAAATCTATCGATGACATTATTGCTTCATCTTATTTACCATTATCAGTTATTATTATAGGTATTGGTATCTGTCCTAAACCTCCAAAAAGTATATGTAATAATAACATAATTAATCGATCTATTTAATGTAGGTGTCACATCTTCTCAATCAACTCAAGGAAAATTTGATAATTTACACAAATAGAATTACACCTTAGACATTCAATAGGATAAGTTGAATTCTTTGGAGTTATTTACAGTTAAATAAGCCTATGAGGCTTGATTCAATATGGCTACTACTTCAATAGGATACAAATAAGAATATTTCAAAATAATTAGAAATTAAATATTATTATTTATATCAATATCTATATCTCTTATTTATCAATCATTCCGCTTTCATCCTTATGAAAAAAATTACAATTTAACACTTTTATTTCACTAAATTAATTTTATATCTGTTTGAAATTCTTGTTAACTTTACAAAATTAAGAGTAAAGAGAGTTTATATTTTAAGAAATAGTTTAGGTGAATATCATATCTCGCTTTCGAGTCCTTGCTAAGAGATCGCCAGGTTGTAGAATGATTCAGGCAAAGAGTAATTTTTCTACATTCATTAATTATGAATTCATATTTTAATCAAATGAAAAAAAAGATTTGATTAATTTTATATAGTTTGTTTAAAGGCCCAAGAGATAAAGCCTTGCTCTCAAAAAAAGGGTAAATTAAATATTTATCTCATCCAAACTCTAAAAGGAATTGAGAAGCATTAGTCATCAATCCATTAGAACTGCACTTATAAGAAAAGGGACACTTACGATTCAATTTTTTTAAAGTGCTTCTTAGGAGATTGTTTAAAAGTTCTGAGTATAAAATCTAAAATACTCATTAATTAATTATACAAGTATTTTATCCTTAAATATAAAGCTGGATGTTTAAATTATATTGAACATCTTATAAAATTTGGATTTGTTAAAACATTAAAAATTTAATCTTTTTTCTGTTTAGTTCGTTATCATGGGGACCAATATTACAGTAGAATTGGAAAACCTTTCTCACTCTAGAAGATATAATTTCAATATTGGTCACCGTAATGAATCTAAATGGTATATAGGGAAGGACTAATTTTTCATGTTTTAGTAAAATCTTTGTAAATGATAATTAATATTTAAATGTTTTTATGATATCATAATTTTTGATTTTAATTATTGTATTGGCACTTCTTTTATCATTTTAAATGATTATGTTAAATATATTTGATTCTTAATTAATAAGCTTCGACCTATATTTGAGAGTTTATATCTAATTCTTTTGTTGATGATCGAAGTTCGATTGGTGTTATCACTTAAAATTCATAATACATTAAATAAACTGATGATTAATTTAATTTTGTATAGGTTTGAGCTAAAAACAAAAAAAACAAAAAAATTTAACAAATAAAATGAAATCAAAAATAGATATTCTACTATAAATATTGTAACCAATATTATAATTTGGCAAACTGGTTAATTGAAAAAATCGGTAAAGAAGGAGGGTGGATAAAAACAAATTTACATTTAAATATTAAATTCTCTAATTTAATTAAGATTTAATTCTTCATGATAAGAATTTTCATATATTTGATAATTTTATACAAAAAAGTAAGTTTATATTTTTCATTAGAATCATACAAAGAAGTTTCATAAATTTCCCCCTATAGTTTTATACATCTTTCATATGTATTTCGTTATTAATTAAAGATTTAGAAAATAACGTTCCCTATGGCAAATATCTTGCTTTTTATGGAAATAAAAACGCTGGTTCACAAATAGATTATAGATTTGCTTCAATAATTTATGAGACAAATATTTAAAAATATTTGAAACATCAACAATAGAGCTCTCTCTCAAACAAGAATTTCATATTTTTGATTTTATATATAGCCTTATGTGTGATAATTGATAGTTAATGAAAAACAAAATAACATGAAATTTGTATTTACAAAGGTATCATGAAATGATTCTTTATCCAGAATATGATCAGATCTATAGTTAATTTTAAAGGAAGCAAGTATTGTCTAATTATAAAATAATAATCAAAGATTATTGCTATTAAAATATCAATTTTGTTTAAAATACAAACAATAATTTCATCTACAAGCATTAGAAAATAATAGGTATTATTTCCATTATTATAATAAAGGTAACTTCCTTAACTACTTAAATCTTTATAGAATTAGTTTCATAAAGATGATAATATATTAAGCAATTTTATTAATGTAAAAATATCAAATTAGTTAATTTATATGAATGAAACGATAATTTTTCTTGGAGGATTTTACGCCTTAGACATTAAAAAAAACAGTTATTTCCCATTTAAAATATCAATGAGGGTATAATCACCTCTAAGGATTATTTATTTATTATAATTAAATCCATCATCTAACTCAATCCATGGTCCAATTTTCAAACCATGCCTTTTTTCATCATATTTTCCACCAGCACTTAATTTTAAATTATATAATTATTTACATTGATTCAAATTTGCCTTGGCTCTTTTCTTTATACTAAATCTCCCATTTACCAATTTTTTGCCATTTTTTATAAACTCCCATGATCAATAACTTATGAATCCCCTCCAAAATCTACTTATCTCTGTGTACTGATCGATTTTTATACCCTCTTCATCATATGATCCACCTCCTCTAAAAATTATAATACTTAATCTTATTACATTCATGAAAATGGTGACTTCGCATCCTCCCGAAACTTGATTTCCATCTACCATCTTTCTTGTTATTTGATATTCACCATCATAAATTATTTAAGAATAACTTATAAACATGTCGCTTATTACAATCCATTTTCCTTTCTTACAACAATTATAACTGTTATCATATGATCCACCTCCCCTAAATTCACTTTAATTATTATTTTACATCTAATCAAATTAATCATTAAATTTTTCTCTGAACAAAATCTTCCACCTAGAGAAATTACTTAATGATCCCCCTAAATTTATCATTTATTTCAGTATTTTCATGCTATCACTTACTTCATCATAAGATCCTCCACCGCTAACAATTTGATATTCATAAATATTGATAGATTTCATTTTAGTAATTTCCATAATTATTTTTATACCAAATCTCCCATTTAATTATTTTTTTCCATTTTGATATTCACCAATGTAAGTAATTTGATTCCCTTTAAAATCGATCACTTTTATCAATCCATTTTCCAGTTTTAACTCCTTAACGTTCATCGTATGATCCACCACATCTTACAATATACTTGGTAATCTAAATTCCTTACATATTTTCTCCTTTGTAATTAATATCGCACTTGCTTTTTATATTCACCATTATAAGTTTATTTAACACAATTTTTAACGGCTCAATTATCTCAATCCATTTTCCATTCTTATTGCCATTCTCTTCGTCATACTATCCACCACCTCTAAAAGTTGCTTTAAATAATATTTACATGGATTCTTCCTCGTAAAATGATGTCCCATAAACCAACTTTTTTGTTATTTATTATTCCCCTTAATAAAATAACTATGAGGAATCCATAAAACCTTCACTTAATTCCAATTTCCAAATTTCATTCCTTAATCATTGTACTACCCTCCTCCTCTTAATTTTATTATGAAAAAAATATATTATTCCATTTGCTTGTTATTCCAAAATATTTTCCATCCCAAAAATCTTTAATCATACTAATAATCACCTACTTCTATACATTCTTTAAACTAAATTCTACTATATTTTTATACTCCTTATAATTTTAACATAAATCAATCCACTTTCCTAACTTTTAACCCTTTAAATCATACATACCACCTCCAACTTATTTACCTTTCCAAAAATAGTTCCATTATTTAACCCCATTAACTCCATATTGCTCTTCTACCCTAAGGTCTATTTTTCATACACCATTTTACAAAAAATTATACATTCTAAGAATTTATCAATCTTTTAAAGATAATTTATCTCTATGAGTTTATGTTATCAAATTAATGGATGTTAGACTAATTAATTGTCGACTTACTCTAATCCTTCCAACTTAACGATACTCTCTTCTGTTTTCTCATTAATCCTTTAAATTATATATAAAATTATTCTACAAATAAGTGTTATTCAATCAGATGATTTGTTATGATGCATTTTGTAGGAGCTTTTCAAATTAGCCTGTTTTTTTGTTTAGAGAAAACAAGTTTTTTTTTTATTCATCCATTCTTCAAAAATATTGTCCACTAGAAAATTTAATTCACTTTGAGTGCATTCAAAAGGGCTTAAAATATTTTTTAGGAGCTTTATGAAAATGTCATAACCTGCTGCTTCATCTTTTGAAATCCTTTTTGATTATAGCTCCAATTTTTTTGAATATAGAAGTTATTTCGCTTAAAATACATCAAATTGACATAAGGCTTATATATAAAATGATTTTGATTAACTAGATATTAATTTACTATTCATGTTTAATTAATTTGCTTTTTTTATCAATTGATTAACAAAATCTCCTTTGGATAAAATTAATCTGGTGGTAATTTGAGTGTTAAAATACATTTCATAAAACTATTCCTTCAACATTTTGTTTGTGCTTGCTTTATAAATGCCTCCAATCTACTATCTTGAATGCTCTTCAAGAGTTGAAATCATTCAAGTAAATTTATTTAATAATATAATCGAATTTAGCATTAAAGGAAGAAAATTTATAATTAACTCCTATAGTTCTTTTTCATTTTAATTATATAGAAAAGTATTAAAAGCTTAGATTTTGAAATAACAATATAATAAGATACATGGTCTTTATTTATCATAAAAAAACTTACAATAATGAAATATTATATCATGAAGAAGAATTTGAATGAAAAAAACAATCTTATAACTTAGATTACATTCTTTATTTTTTGAGATTTATAAAATCTAATCTATATTGTTTGCATTTTGGAGGAGATAAAGATATGTTAATTTTGATATTTATATTGAATTTCATCAAGAACAGGTAGGTTACTTATCATAAGATATTATTTATGATGAAAATTTAGAATTTAGTATTATGCTTTTACCTAAATCTCATAATATCTATCCATTTTACAATTAGTATGAGTTAGTTGCTTATTAAATATAAATATAAGTATTTTCGTAATACTAATAGTAAAATGAATTTTCAATACGGAGGTTTATGGTTTATAGTAGTATCGCTGAATAGTGAACTGTGAGCT